CCTGCTGGTGACTGGGAGGGGACTCGGGGAGGCAGCTGGTGGGGCAGAAGGAAGCGCTGCCACGGTTAAAAACAGGCCAGAGGCCCATTTAGTCACGCGGTCAGCCAGAGCTGGTGCCTGGTGCCCCTGAGGAGGCCAGGGCCACCCCCTCCTGGCCACAGGCCTCAGGGCCAGTCTTGAGGTCGCTTGAGCTCGCTTGGACACAGACAAGAGAGGCTGCTCCCCTAAGACAGCCGACTCGCCAGTGAGTTTCTTTCCATCTCTGGGTCTTCGAGCCGGCTGTCCCCCCTGCCAGGAACGCTGTCTCCCCGCTGGCTCTCGACATGCAGCAGTGCAACATCCCTCCCTTATCTAATCAGAGGCCCTGCGTTGTTCTGCCTCCTGCTCGTTCCCCCCACACGGCACCTGCTGCCACGTGGAATGGCGCGTGTGTGCGCATTCGCTCTTTCCTGGGTCTCTGCCTTAGAACGCAAGCGTCAGAGCTCATCCGTCGTATCGCCTTCTCTAGCACGAAGACCAGCACATAGTAGGCCCTCGATGAAGGTTTGCTAAGTGGGTGGATGGAGTCATGGTCCCCCGTTCATCCATTCATCACGGATTGAATCTCAAAGAACCCCCAGAGTCTCCCTGTCTCACCCAGAGCAAAAGCCCAAGTCCTTTTGGGCACGGGCCTGTGGGACTTTGCTTCCCTTCCTAACTGTCCCCTCGCTCACGCCAGGCAGCCTTGGCACCTGCTCTTCCCTCGGCCTGGACTGGCCTTGTGCTAACACCCACAGGGCTCACGCCCTACAGTCTCTGTCCAAACATCCTCAGAGAAGCCCTCCTTGGCCACCACATTCCCTGTCCCCTCCCCAACCTTTTAAATCCATTATTGCCATTCGGTGTCTGTCCCTCCCACCGGGATGAAGCTTCACGAGGCCAGGAATTTTTGTCTGTTCACTGCTTGTCCCCAGCAGTGTCACCCAGAACAGTGTCTGGAACATAGTAGGGGCTTGAGAAATAGTTGTGAAACAGATATAAGCTCGGCAGCCTGTACCAGGCTCTACCCACGTAGCTCATGTAGCTTTCACATTGACCTTGGGAAGCAGATACTATTATTACTCCATTTTACAGATGGGAAACTGAGGCTCAGAGAGGGTTAATAAATAGATATGAACCCCGTTCTGTCTGACCTGGAACCCAATCTCTCTGTCCTCAGCCTGTCTCCCTAGAGCCATCTAAGGTCTGTGCCCTCTCCTCTTGTCCCCACAGTTCTTGCAGCCTCTCAAGCAGACATGGCCCAGCCTCGCCGGGTTCCCTGCCTCCAGTCTTTCCCCCACTCGCTGACCTCCCTGCTGCAGGGATCCTTCTAAATCACAGATCAGACCCTGTCTCTCTTTTGCTCAAGACTCTTCCGTGGCTCCCTCTTGTCCCGAGTCAGCTGCCATTTGAGGCTCCTGCTATCAGACGTACTTCCCGCTTCATCTTGTACAAAAGCCCTACTAGATGCTCCAAGACCAGCTTGTTCTCAGCTCTGAGTCTTTGGACAGCACTGCCCCTGCCTGGAACCCCCCTGGCTGTCTATCTGGAAAAGCACTGCACCTTGTTTGCACACAGCGTGACTGTCGCTCCCACTGGGGAGAAGAAAAGAAGGATTAGCATCTCCTTCATGTCCTCATGGTTTTGTGAGTTTCCTTCCAGCTTCGCCCTGATCTCCACCCTCCATGGGGTTGCAGAGGCTGGAGCTCCTGAGGGCAGGGACCACACTAATTCACCCCCAGGCTCTCCCTCCAGGCTGTCCCTTGGGGCCAGGCCCCAGCCTGCTGACGAGCAGTTGTGATGTCACGGACTGTGTGGAAGCCGGGCCGCCTGCCTTGCACCTGACTCCACAGTGTGCTGGCTGGGAGCCCATGGACTTGTCTGTACATGCCCTGTGCCTCAGTTTCCTCATCTGCGAAATGCTGACAATGAAAACACCCACTCGTAGGGTGGGAATGAAATGCACTAACGCATGGAATCACTCGGCACCGTGCCTGGTGCTCAGTAAACATTACCCATTAGCGTGAAGAAGAAAGGAAGGAACAGGTGCACAGGCGGCTGCACAGGTAGGAGCTGGGTCCAGGGGGCACATCCTTCGGGACCACCCTGGCTGCTTCACACCCTCAGGGCAGCCCTGTCACTGGCTGAATGTTTTCCCACCACTGCCCTGTTGGGTCCAAGGTGGCCGGTGGAATTCGAGGCCACTGGACCTAGACAGGAAAAGGCAGCGTCACCAGCCCTGATGTAATCCAAACCAGATGCGGCCTCAGTGGCTTCCAGACCCCTGGGGGTGGTCACTGTGGGCCTGGCTAAGGCCCAGAGGCAGGAAATGGTCTTGGAGGAAAGCTCTCTGGGCTGGGACCCACGTGGAGGAGCGGTCCCACTGAGGGTGTTAACCCTTCTCAGCCCACACGGGGCCAAGGACCTGTGCAGGGGACGCTCATGGCCCTGGCGCAGTGGAGGCACAGAGCAGCCTGCGGGGAAGACCGCAGTGTCGGCGTTGTGATGGACTCTGAGCGGGAGGGGCCCACACCCGGGGACTGTGGGGGCAGGACAAGCTATGCCAGGGGCAGGGAAGCTCACAGCCTGGCACCCTGAGAACTGCCTTGGCCCTGACCCTTGCTCAGCCCCGGTTCCAGTTTAGCAGTTCCAAACCAGCAGTGGACTCACTCTCCCCATCAGCGCAGCTCCTAAGGGGAGGGTCTTTGTTCCTGCAACTGCCAGAGACGCGAGCTCTCCTGAAAGCAATGGGGCTGGGCCCAGGCCTGCAGGGAGGTGGCCCCAGCTTTGCCCTGAGTGTGCCCTGTGGCCCTCAGTGGGAACAAGAACTCTTTAAGTCCCCAGTTCCCATCCATGTTGTCAAGTCTGTATTCTCTGCCTCCAGGGACCAGGGCAGACATAAAGGAGGCAACTGATGAATCAAAAAGAGCTTTCTAGGAGGTGCTCCTGGGGAGGATGGGGCTGAGGGCAGTAATCAGCCCTGATCCATGGCTCTAGGTGGGCTTCTTGCTCAGGACATGTTAATTTGCTGTGTGGCCTTGGGCAAGTCACTTTCCCTCTCTGAACCCATTTCTCCCCTTGTAAAATATGGTGCATGAGCACCGCATCCCATCTCTCGACTGTCACATGGCCTTAGGAGTGGCAGAGAAGAGCTGAGGCTGTCATTTTCATATACAGAGGAGGAAACTGAGGCTTGTGCTGGGAGTCAGGAGTCCTGGGTTCTAGTCCCAGCTGTTACTGTCTCTGATGAGGGGCCTTCCCTGTTTTGGCCTCAGTTTCCCCAACTGGAAACTGATGAAACCTGGTTTCATCCAGGCCCTGGATGTCTGCTGTGGCTGGACCTCATTTCCTCCCCTCCCCCCACACTGGTGACTCATCTCTCATCATCACGCTGTGTGGCCGAGGCTCAGCCTGGGTGGGGGCCAGCGAGGCCGAGAACCACTCAGAGGAAACCAAAGGCCTGGCCCAGCTGGCAGGTGGCGGGCGGGCGGGCAGGCAGGGATCCACTGCTATGGGGGCCCTGCCCATCAACACACCTCCCACCAAGAGCTCAAGCCAGGCTCCCCAGGCCCTGAGCCCCCGACCGCAAGGGTCAGGCTCAGGCCCCGGAGTCCCCACCCCATGTGGTACCTGCAGCAACAGGCCTCTGCACCACCTGCTGGAACAGGGCAAGGGTAGGCGCGAGGCCCCTGGCCGCCCCCTCCAGGCCAATGTCCACACAAGCAGGAGAGGGAGGGGATGAACCGTCAAGGTTTCTGTGCGAGGGCAAGTCCAGGGTTTCTCAGGAGGCAGGCGGTGGAGCGGTTAAGAGCAGGGGCTCTGGGCCCAGGCTCTCTGGGTCCAAATCCTGGCTCTGCCACTGACTAGCTGCGTGGCCCTGAGCAAGCAGCTGAGCCCCCCTGAGGCTTGGCTTCCCCCTCCGAGAAACAGACACAACACTTGCCTCTCAGGGTCACTGTGACCAGCCGATGTGGTCATGAACACGGTCCTGGGCCCAGGCTCAGCAGCCAGCAGGGGTTCAATGCCCGTTATGGCTGTCACCACTCTTCCTGCTGAAACCTCTGCACTCCCAGCAGGCCAGCCCCGCTTGCGACTCAGTTGTCCTCACAGCCAGAAGGGCTCACCCTATCAGCGTGCAGCTCTCTTGCCCTCTGGGCCGCCCCCTCCAGCGGATGGACCCCCTTCCCCGCATTGCTGGCCTGGGGTGAAGCAGGCTGTGGCCGGCGGGAAAGAGCAGGGAAGAGCCCTCTCTCCCCCGAGGCCTGCGGTTGGAGGGGGGACCCCTTGCTGGGGACCCAGCAAAGGCATCGCAGGCCTGCCCCACCTGGCCTCCACCTGGAGCCCCTCCTTCCCGCTTACGCCTTGTTCCGGTGAGAGCAGCGTGAGCTCAGGGGCACAGCCTTGCTCTGGGAGACCGAAGAGTTCACTTCCAGCCCCAGCCCCCGACTTGTGAGTAGCATTCAAGTGCCTCCCCCTCTCTCAGCCTCAGTTTCCCCTCTGTCCGAGAAGGATGAGTACACTAGTGCTCCCCGAGCACTTCCCTGTGCCGAGCACAGCCCTGAGTCCTCCCCTTCAATCTGACTGGTGCCACCATCGCCGCACTCCATGAGGCAGGTCCCGTCACTGCCCACTGCCTCTGGCTCAGTTTCCCCCTCTGTGAATAGGAATCGTAACATCTCCCTCATCACCTCGCTGCGAGGAGTGAATGAGTTAACGTGTGCACAAGCGCTTTGAATACGCCAGGCACACATTAATCACCCACTGAGTGCTGGCTGGTGTGCCTTCCTCTCACAGGTGGGGGTACTGAGGCACAAAGTGAGGAAGCCACTGGGCATGCGCTGGGCGGTCTGGCTCCTGACCCTCCTGACTGCACTGCGAGCTGACGGCGTTAGGAAAGAGCCTGGCACACGGTAGGTGCTCAGTGAACTGTAGTCATCTGTGACCGCACACGAGTGTGCACATGCAGAAGGCAGGAGGCCACATCCAACCTGTACATTTATTTACAAGGCACAAGCTGAGAGCAGGCTGGGGGCTGCCCAGTGGCCTTCCCACTCCTCCTGGGCCTGCTGACCTCATCCTCTAGGCCATGGGGGCCCCCCCCCAGGGATGGGGGCCCCCTGAGTGGCTGGGTTGGGCCGGCTTGGCCCTGAGGCAAGCTCGGGGGTGGTCTCCTGCGTCCCAGGCTTCTCCCCTCCCCTCCGCCAGGCCTGAGCTGGGCGCCCTCTCTCTCACACAGAGTTCCTGTGCGTTGGTGGTCGCGGAGGTGGGTGGGGCCCGGCCCAGGCCAGATGGTGTGGGCTAGGCCTTATCTGTTGGGAGTGGGGAGGCTGCAGGGGCACGGAGGTCCTCTTTCACAAAGCCTGCTCTGTCTCCCCTGGCAGCTGGGCCTCAGGAATCAGCGTTCCTGCCTCCCTGCCCCGCCAGGAGGCTCCTGTCCACAACCGCAGGAGCCCTGCATGCGGAGACCCCCAGCTGTCCCACCCCAGCTAGGAGCAAGCCCAGGCCGGGATGCCCCAGGCGGGGCAGAGCAGGGGCACCAAGACAGCAGTTCAAAGAGGGGAGCTGAGGAGGGAACAGGGAGCGGCTGCAACGCGCCGTGCTGCGGAGACTGGGGTGTGGCTGACAGGCTACAGCCCTGTCTGGGGAGGCACTAGCAGGATGAGTCCAGGCCATACTCCGGGTGGCTCACGTCGGGTCGGGGAAGCGGTCGCTGCATGGGGGCATGGGGAGCCCTGAGCCTCCCAGCCTGGTGCAGCCTTGTCCTGCCCAGCCTGCCCTGGGGATCTGGCTGCCTTCTGGGCTGTGTGGCCTCAGCCCTGGCCACTGTGCGACTGCGTCCAGGCCTCAGCTGCTCCAGGGCTCAGACCCCCAGAGCCATCAGTGCCCCCGAGCTGCTGATCTTCTTGAAGCGGTTGGCAGCGCTGACAGCAATGAAGTTTTTCTGGAGGAAGAGGGAGAGGGAGTCCCAGTCAACACCAGGGCAGGGGAGAAGCTGTGGGATGGCCCAGGGTCCTCGTTAAGGTCCCCTCCATTCCAGGAGGGCCAGAGGCCAGGGAGGGTGCAGTGCCCAGAACAGCCACAGGAGGCGCCATGACACTGCCTCCTCTAGGACTCCTGCCTTCCTGCAACAGACCTGAACTGAGCACCTCTGCTCAACATACTCCAATGGCTTTGATGTTGCTCCAAGTAAAAGATAAACCTTCACCATGGCCCATGAGTGCTCAACATCCCGTCCCCGTGTTCCGCTCTGACCTCACTCCTACCCCGTTGCTCACTCCACTCCAGCCTCACTGGCCTCCTACCCGTTCTTCAAACTTGCCAACGGTGCTTCTGCCCCAGGGCCTTTGCACTAGCTCTCCCCTCTGCCTGGAATTCTCTTCCGCCAGTACTGGCACAGCTCACCCCCACCTCTTCGGGCCTTTGTTCACATGATCCTCTATTTAAAAGTGCAACATCTCCCCCAGCTGATGGCCTTTTGGTTTTTCTAGAGCCCTGCCCTAACCCTGCCTAATAATGCCACATCTCCCACCAAGAGTAAGTCCACAAAGACTGAGGTCCTTGGCTCTTTTGTCCATTGCTCTCTCCTGGTGCCTAAAAGTGGTAGATGCTCAATAAATATTTGGAAAATGAAGGAAGGGAGGCTGGGATGGGGTCAGAGACTTTCTCCTGAGCCCGAGCCCCAGGTGGCCGCCCCTTCCCAAGGTGGAGGGCTGGGTAGAAGTCTCCAATCCAGGGCAGGGGCCAGCTCAGGGCAAAGACGGAAAAGCCAACCCTGTGTTCCAGACAGGGCCAGGCCTGGTCAACAGAACCTGCCAAGGCAGGGCTGGTGGGGCCCAAGACCTGGCACCAGGACCTCCTCCTGCCCGGCAGTCCCTCTCTCGTCCCCACCTGGAATCCAGTGGTACCTTCCAGCGCCTCTTCATGAGGTATTTCTTAAGCAAGATCTGGGACTTGAGGCGTCGGTTGCAGCGCTTGGCTTTCTCCGCCAGGTTGTTGAGCCAGGGGTGGTCGAGACACTGAGCAGCGCTCATCCGGGCCCTGGGGCGGGAGCGGCGTGGTGAGGTGGGTGCGCGCCCGCGGGCACCAGAGCCTGGCAGCCCGCCGCTCAGTTCCCACCCTGCAGGCGCATGCGCGTACTGAGCTTGCACACCGGGGCTCTTGTCCTGGGGCGAGCCTCACCTCTGGTCCTTGACGATGAGGTTGGAGACAAAATCTTTGGCCTCATCCGACACAGCCTCGAAAGTCTCCTCGTCAAAGTACCAGTTGCCAGAGAGGACGTTGTTGAGGGTCTCCGTGTCATCATCTCCCAGGAAGGGGGAGAGGCCGCTCAGCCTGGAGGCAGGGGTGGCAGGGCAGGGGGTGAGAACGGAAAGGCCAAGACACCTTCACGGGGGAAGGGACAGGAGCAGATCCTAGGAGGCAGCACCTTGTGCTGAATAGACCCCCAGCCTCTCAATGGGACAGACCTGGGTTTGAATCTGGCTGGGAGACTGTGGGCAAGTCACTTCCCCTCTCTGAGCCTCACTCTTCACATCTGTAAAATGGGCATAATCATCCCAGCTTCCCAGGGTCACAGTGAAGATGAGGAATGACAAGTGCAAGACAGGTGACGAGTGCACAAAAATGTCCACTACCCCCTCTGCTCCCTCCCCAGGTCATCTGAGATCCACTGCCCAGAGCCCTGGGCTGGGATGTTATGCCTTCAGGGGCCTTGGCTTTTCCACCTATAAAATGGACACAAACTTCTCCTTTCCTGTTGTCCCTAGCACTCCCGCCCCCAGCGAGCCCCTGACTGTGGGATCGGGAGGTGGGACCACCTCACCAGGACCCCATGGCCAACACTGGCCTGGCTGCCCACCTGTGTGCCCCACCCACCCCTGCATGCCACCCTCCCTCGGCTCACAGCATGTAGGTGATAACCCCCAGGCTCCACATGTCCGTCTTGTCGGAGATCTGGTCATAATTCACCACCTCAGGGGACAGGAACTCCGGGGTCCCGAAGTTCACCTTCAGCTTCTCATTGGGGTTGTACCTGGGGTGAAACCAAGCGCTCAGAGCACTGCTTCTGACCTGCTCTCGGGCACCCGCTACCCGCCCCTGCCCCCTGCCAGCCTCAGAGGTGGGCCCCACCCTCCCCGCCCACCCAGGTGGTACCTCCGTGCCAGGCCGAAGTCAATGATCTTCACCAAATGACCCGTGGTGTTGACACACAGGATGTTCTCTGGCTGAGGACAAAGCGGGCGGCCTGGGTTGGCTTCTGACCCAGCTCGCCCTCTCTCCCGCACCAGGTCCACCCACATCCGGGCTCTCTGAGGCAGAGGGCCACACTGCCAGGGCGGGCAGCCGCCAGAGACCCTCCAGACCTGCTGCCCTGAGCACAGAGAAGGACCCTGAGGCCCCAGGAGGGACTTGTACGAGGCCTTGAAGCACAAGACCTGTTGGTGGTTCAGGTGGGATTTCCCTCCATTTAAGGCGGGGAAAGAACAACGACATTCTAGCAATTCTGAGCACGGGAAACTGAAGGCTATGGAGGAGGAGTGGCGTGCCCTGGGCCGGGAGGCCAGTGCAGTGTCACCACCCGATACGTGGAGCTCCAAAGGGCAGAGAAGGAAAATATCAGCTTCCTCCCAGAGGAAGCCCCTCGGGAACAGAGGGCTTCACGCTGCTCCAGGGGTGCTGGAAGACGTGCTGCTCTCACCCCCCCAGTCAGCAATGCCGACAGCGAGCTACAAAACGTCAGGCCCAGCGTCACTTTCCACCATTTAGCTCATCACTCCTCCAAAGCCCTGTGAGGCAGACACTGTCACACTGAGACTGTGACCATCCCCTGCCATCTTGCAGTTGAGAAAACTGAGGCTCAGACACAGAAGTGACTTGGCCACGGTTGCCCAGCAATACAGCCAGGATCTGATCCCAGGACTGACTCCAGCACTGGCCTCCTAATGTCCCTTGGCAGCCACTGGCCAACAAGCACCCACAGTGCTGCCTACAGGGAGGGGGCTGGAGCAGACACAATGCTACTGGGCTCGCTCTTCCAGGGCAGGGACCTTCACCTGGCCTTCTTGGTCCCCACCCTCAATGACTAACAAAGGCATCCAGTAGGTGACCGGCCAAGGCTCAGAGGAAGCCTGTGCCCCAGCACAGAAGACATGGGAATGAAGTTACTGCAAAACCAACTCTGGGCTCATTTCCTCTTCCTCCAACACAAGGACACAGGACTAATCTGAGGTTACAGGGTATAAACATTTTGAAGTTAACAATGGTTCACAGGCAGGAGATTTTTCACAAAAACCCTGGTTTCCAGCACCTCCTGAAAAACCGGAAGTCCTGGCCACATGGGCACACGCCTTGCAGTGAGTTGCCACTGACCCCCTGACATAGGACAAAAGTCCTCCAGCTCCCCTGTGGTCTCCATCACCCCAGCCCCGCCCAGCCAAGACGTTTTTATTACTTCTCTGGGCTCTGTGGGCATTTGATTCAAGGCCTCTAAGGAAATGTTTTCTGAAGGCCTTTTAGAACTGATAAATTCACTCAGAGAGGAATGCTAATGATTTTAGTAGCTCGGCCTTGTGTGCCACCAAAACAAGGGAAGAAAGGAAAGGTCCCAGTGTACAAGCATTCGGGGACATGAGGCAGGCTCAGGTCTCTTTCTGGAGATTCTCAGTGAGCACACGAGAGGTCCCCAGCAGCCCTGCAGCCTCGGTGAAAAACTCACTGCTACCCGAAAAGCACATTTTAGCAGACAGAGGCTTAACGAGCTGCTTCCTGGAGCATTGCATTTTAATTGGGGACCCTGCTCTACCCCAGTGAAATTAGCTTGCATGACAGAGAGGCAGGCAGCCCATGTCACTGTGCAGGTACCAGCTGCCGAGTCACTCAGGAGTCACCCGCCCTTGACCCTTTCCTTTCCCTAACCCTGACACACGCGAACCAGCAGCAAATCAGATTGGCCCTTTTTCCAAATGTAGCCACCATCTGACCACGTCCCCTCCCTGCCCCCACTGTCACTCTGGCTCAAGCCCCGTCACCTCTCCCCTGGTTTGCTCCAGCCTCTGAGTCCCCTGCTTCCACTTTGGCCCGACCGAAACCCACCTCCTCAGCCTCCCCGCTGCCTCATCTGCCAGTGGGGATGATAACAGCACACCTCACCCAGCGGCTGCTGGAGGACCACGTGCTCCCTCGGAACAGCCGCCGACACCCGGTGCACTTGGGCAGGGCGCAGGAGGCAGCGGCAGCAACTCCCCGCCTTGCTTCAGAGCCCTGGGCCTGGCCTGGCCTACTTCTCCGGTTCCCCCGGGTACTCATTACTCCCAAGTGCTTTTTCATAACACTTTCGATGGCTTAAAATGACCTGTTTAGTCATCATTTAAAGAATGTCTGTTTCTCCCACTAACCTGGAGGCTGCAGGAGCCAGGGCCCAAGTCCTATGTCCTTCGTAGCCCCCATGCCTAGCACAGGGCCTTCCACAGCAGGTACTCAGTAGGCGTCTAGCAAATGAGTGAACGAAAGTACTGTCCACTTTGCTGATGGGTGCCCACCCGCCTCAGGGTTAAGATTTCATCTCCTCCGCTACCTTGCCGCCTAGCCCACAGGCAGGAACGCCTGCCACCCGGATGCTCAACACCCGGCTCTCCTGCTGCCCCTGCCCAGGGCGGACGTCGCTGAGCTCCAGGCCACCCCTGCCCACTGATGGGAGCTGGCGTGCAATGCATAAAATCCATTTGCTCTTCCTAACCTCCTATATGCACGGTACTGAGCAAGGTCAGAAGAGGGACATGAATGTTGCCTCATGAAATGGTGTTGTCAGCACCCACCTCGTGTACATCGCTGTGCTAACGCTGCACTTATCCGCAAGCTCTGCAAATGCAGGGATTATCATCTGTTTGGTTCACCACCACCTACAGTGCTTCCTGGCATAAAGTAGCCCCTCAACAGATATTTGTTGATTTTGAATAAATGAACAAACATTCGTAGCACCTATCATGGGCCGACACTGAGATCGGTGCTTTGGCAACACTTAGTCCCTTGTCTGTGTGAGACCGTGTGACACTGAGCTTGGGGCTGAGCACTCCCAGCGCTGCAAAAGACCCTTTAGCGCTAGAAAAGAAGTTCCATGAAAACTGGGACCACGTCTTTTCTTTCCTCTCTCTCTGTTGGAACTCTGGCTCTGGTACTTGGTAAGTGCTCAATAAACCCTTTTTCGAGCTATGGAAGGAAGGCTGGATGGAGGAAGAGAGGGAGGGATGGGAGGATGGGAGCCTGGCTGGGAACAACACTGATCTCAGGGGGTCAGACGCTGCTCCCGTCCCCGCCCAGGAGGCCCCAGCCCCGGTACCTTGAGGTCCAGGTGCAGAACCCTCATCTTGTGCATGAAGAGGATCCCGTCGCAGATCTGCCTGACAAACACCATGGTGTCCACCTCGGTCAGGTGGTAGTCCTCATCCACAATCCTCTCGAAGAGCTCGCCGCCCTCGATGCTGTGTGCACAGACCCCTCCACAGGCTTGCTCTGGGCCTGCTGGCACCCCCGCCGGCCCCCACCCCCACTGCCGCCACTCACTACTCCATGAACAGGACGATCTCATGCGAGGTCTCGATGGCCGCGTATAGCTGGATCAGATTGCGGTGGTTCAGCTGGTTCATGACCTCGATCTCAAGCAGCACCATTTCCTGGGGGCCAGAAAAGGCACGGGTACCAGCCAAGCACTGTCGCTTGCTGACCTCCACCCCTGCACCTGCACCCTTGACCAGGCCTGTCTGGCCTTGCCTGGACCACCGCCCAGCCCCCTCCTCGCTGGCCTCCCTGCCTCCCGCCTCTCCCTCGGCCCACCCCTGTTGTCCTCACCACTCCCAGTCACTCCTGCTGGGACACCGTCCCTCTGCTGGCTCTCTTCCTCTGCCTCCCGGCTGGCTATTGGCCTGCCAAAGGGAGCCTTCCTTCCCCCCATCTCCCCCCTCCCTCTGCTCGCTCCATGGCATTCTCGTCGAGTCCCATGACTTTACATTCCATCCAAATGCAGTCAATGCCACATACGTATCTCAGCCTCTGAGCACTCCCTTGAGCCCCGGACTCCAATGTATCCAACTGCCTCCCTGCCAGCTCCCTTGGATGTCTAACGGCGACAATCTGTCATGTCCAGAATCAACCTCTGATACCACACACCCCTTCCCCACAATTGAGGTGTCCTCAGCTTGTCCAGCAGCAAAAGTACACCACGCTGTCACCCAAGTGTGCGGGACAAAACGTCAGGAGCTTCCTTCTTGCTCTTGCTGCCTCACGCCCCACATCCCATCTGCCAGTAAACCCTTCAGCATAGTCTACCTTCAGACTAGACCATAAAGTCACTCATTTCTCACCTCCTCCACTGCCTTCCTAGTCTGAGCCACCATTATTTGTCACTTTCGGAAAGTGTGCAGGCCAGTCGTCACATTGGTAGGTTGCTATATTGGCTGTGTAGGAATATTTACACCGTGGAAATTGGCAGAGCTGCAAATGAGGCCTCTCCCCTATGCCCTACCCAGAGGCAGTTGTTAAACACTAACCATCGTGTCACTGCCAGAATTGGCCCCTTGTCCCCTTCTCCCATCCCTTCATTCAGGCCTCACCTCACAGACCACACTCTTGGAGGGGCCTGACCTCCTCCCCACAACTACGAGGCCCCACCGGCCCGTGCTCTCTGTAGTATCCATGCCTTTCCTGGCTAGCAGTTCTCCGGACTTCACACCAGGCTGTTCGTCCTGCTTTATGTTTCAGTTGTCTGTCCCTCCACTCTAGCATGTCAGCCTCACAAATGCAGGGACTTGTTTAGTTCACTGACTTTTTCCCCTAGCACCCGGCCCAGGGAATGGCAAAGAAAAAGTGCTCAGTAATTAATTAATCAATAGCTGACTCCAGTTAATTGGCACAGCACATAGGTATTGAGCGTCTCTGTTTAACCAGCAGCCCTGTCGACTGGAAGAGACAGAGAAGGACAGAGTCACATAGAAAATACACTCCTTCCAGGTGCACTCGGAGCTGTGACAGGGAACCCAGGGCTGCAGGGCTCTGCAGCCGCTTGTCGTGCTCTTGCTGGGCGCCAGGCCTTTGCGCACGTGCTGTCTCTGCCTGGGATGCCATAACCTCACTGCTCAGCAGCCCCTGCTGTTCCCGGCCCTCAGAGCTTTCCTCTCATTGTCCCCTCTGCCTGAAACTCTGCTCCTTGCTTTCTCCACTGGAACATCTCATTCCTCAAAGCCTTTACTGAGGAGGCAGCTGATCCAAGAAGCTTCCCTGGCCCCTTGGCCTGAGTCAGAAGTGTCCCCCCCACTATCCAGAGTTACAGCCCTGATCACACTAGGTCGTCAGGTCATCATTACCTCCTCGCCCACCAGACCCCCTCAGTCCATGTGGCCCTGGCCTGCACACAACCATTCCTTCCTTGCACAAACACTGCGCACGGCCTCCTCTGAACACGGCCCAGGCGAGGCGCTAGAGGCAACGCCCTAGACCAGGCTTCTTTACCTTGGCGTCAGCTCCCTGAGGGCGGGGACCACGTCCGCGTCACTCCAGGACCCCCAGTGCCCAGCACAGGGCCCGCCCAGAGCCCACACTCATCAGTGTTTGTTGGATTGAACCAGAGGGCATGAGTATCCTGCGCCTAGAAGGGGAAGTCCCCAGATAAGTTCACTAACTGGGGTGTCTGGTTTCTGGTTAGGGGCATCAGGCCCCTGCAGCAGGGCAGTCTGTCTGTCCATCTGTCTGTCTGTCTGTGCGGCCTCTTCAGTGCAGCAAGGCTCCCACACCAGATCCCTGGCTCGGCGGTGCAGGCGGAGGGAGGTGAGAGGTGCCCACTCCAAGGACCCCCTCCCCCACCTGGATAGCCAACTTCCCCCCCACTACCTTGTCTTTGGGGGTCTGTTTCTTGATGACCTTGGCTGCCAGCTTGAGGCCCGTGGCTTTCTCTGTGCAGGTACAGACTGCCCCAAACTTGCCTCTGGAAAGAAAAAAGCCTGGGAGTGAGGGGACTGTGCTCTGTTCCTGTCTGGGCCCCGACCTGAGGGTGCCTCTGGATCCTCCTCTGTGAGATGGGAGCACTCGCTCCAGCCAGCCCTGACCACCCCCGGCCGCTGTGAGCTCCATTGCCAGGACGACGGCTGAAGGCAGGTTCTCCGAACCACACAAACCACGTGCACAGGAAGGGCAGGCGCGTAGGGAGGATGGTAGGGAGGATGGCCCTGGGATGCGACTCAGAGAGGTCTAGGGCAGGCGGGGGCCTTGGGCCCTGGGGAAGGCACCTCCAGGCTGAGGGAGGAGGGATCTTTAGAGGTATGAGACCAAGTCAGGGCTTTTTACAAAGCAGGAATCACCAGGAGGGGGTCAGTGTGGTACCTGGAATGGAGATGGGAAAATACTGTGCATTTCCTATGGGAGCACTGAATGGCTCATGGCGTGCCTGTGCAAGCGACAGTGACACTGAGTGCACATCAGCATGTGACATGCGTGACCACACAGAGGCGATGGTGTCCACGTGGGCCATGTGCAAGTGGGATGTGAGTGGGCCTTGCGCAGGGAAAACGCCAGGCCACGGGGTCCCGGGCTGGGGTCCCGGCTCTCACCCTCCCAGCGCCTCCTTGGAGTTCAAGCTGAATTCGCTGTTGACGTTGCCAGTCCTCAGCTCCACGATGCGGTGGGGGAACGGGGCTGGGGGTGGCGGGCAGTCGTCTGGGTGGGCAGAGCAGAGCCCTCAAGGTCAGTCCAGCGCGCAGAGGATCCACCTTGGCTCCACCCCTCCTGCCTGGCCAGGCCCCTGTCCAGGGAAGTTAAGTGCCCCAAGGGATACCTGGGGGACACCTGGCTCCAGGATAGAGATTGTGGGGTGCAGTTTCCAATTTAGGTTCTGCCACCAACACACAAAATGACCTTGGGAGGCCTCTGCCCCTCTCAGAGGGGACCCAGATTCCCCGCAGAACAACGGGGATGGGAGATTGGATGCTTGGACCTCCCCCATCATCAGGCACGAGGACTCCATCCTACACTATCTGCATTTCCATTAAAAACAAACAAGCAAACAGCAGCTATGAAGCGGGAGGCCAGACAGTGGGGTCGCTGTGTCGGAGTGACAGGGTGGATGGCGGGACCTGCCTGCGGCCCGCTCCAACGCCGCCACGAACTGGCGGGAGCCGCGGCGCCGCCGGGCGGGGCGGGACCACGGACAGAGACGTTTGTTTGGTGGGGAGAGGCCGCCACCTAGCGGCAGGTGTGGGGAACCGCGGACCCCGAAGGCCGCGGGCTGAGTCATCTGGAATGGAAACCTCTTTATAAATAGCGAGACGCGGCAGGGAAGCCGGGCTGGTGATTAATCAGATGGCCCTTGGAGGTGGTTCAGATCCCGTCACCCCAGGATGTGCTCTGGGGCGGGGCGGGCCGGGACGGCGGGCTGTGCCGCTGCTGGGGGCGGAGGCAGGGCTCCTGGCTGCCGCCCAGCCGCCAGGTCCTCCCGCCCTGTCTGGGTGGCACTGAGCCGCTCACCAGGCAGGTTGGCGGGGCTCCCAGGGCACCTCGGCCTGGAGGAGGGGGGGTGTCAGGACACTCTGGGCTCTCCTGACCCCATCTCACCCCACCCCCAGCCCTGCCGCACCCCTGCCCATGGCCTTTCGCTATTCACCTGCTCGCCAAACTCACCCATGCTCGGGGCTCTCTGCTGCCTGCAACACAAGCCACCGGCTCCTTGTCTAATCATCAATGAAGGCCACTCCACAGTCCTGCCCCATCTCACATGCCCAGCTTCCTTGGTCACTGCTCCCACACACCGACACCTGTGCTCCTCTGCTCATGAACCCTCTATGGCTCCCATGACCTCCACCCCCATGTATTTTAACTACTAATATCTGGCGTGGAGCCCTTCTACACATTGACTCCAAATTCCACCATCCAGCGAGTTCATGTCGCTCCAATAATCTGACTGATTTTTTTTTAACCCCGGTTATAGCTAAAGTAGAAGAAAGTCAAAAGTGGGCTCTGGGGTCTGGCTGTCCTGACAGATTCAAATCCTGTCTTCACTCTATATTTTTGGGCACTTTATTTTCCCTTTTCTGAGCCTTCCTTTCCCC